CATAATGTAATAATATCTTGTTTTCCGTGTTTTTATTTATTTTATTTAAATTATTTTAAAAAAAAAATACTTTATTAGGATTTTGTTTTACAATATTAATAAGTGTAGTTTTTAATGGGAAAGTTGTTTTAATTTCATACAAACGCTTCGTGATTTTATTTCGGGTAATAATTTATAAATATTTAAAATGTTTGATTATTTCTGTCAAATGATAATCGTTGACGTAGGAGGTTGTTTTGTCTTGAGTATGCAAATTTAGTTTACAGTATTAAAAATTAGAATGGGTGAAGTTTACAAAAAAAATTAAAATTTTTTAAAATTATTTAAAGTTAGAGGTATGTTTAAAAAAAAAAAAAAAAAGAAAATTTCAATACCTCGTAAACGTCTAAATAGTAATTTTATGATTTTTTTTTTTGCATCTTAAATCCATAATCCATTTAAAATTATTTTTTTCAAATAAGAAAGTAAGGTTTTATTTTTTATTAAAAAAAAATTGCTTATTTACATCATAATTTGAGAAAAATATTTATTGAAATTAAGTTTTTAATATCAACGTTTTTGTAATAAGTAAAAATCTCTCTTAAATTATCATTTTAAGATATTAGAATCAATATTTTTTCACAAAGAATGAATTTTACATTGCTATTTAAACTTCACAAATTTACTTATTTACTTATTGAGTTAAAATTTTTTTATTTTTATTTTTTATTACCAGTATTAAAATTTTAATATATGCTTAAATAAAAAAATACTTTTTAAATATATCTCTCTCGGCATTACACTTGAATTAATGTTTTTTTATAAAATTTTTAAAAATTTAAATTAAGTATACCTGACTTAAGAATAAATTAATTAAGTTTAAACAAATTATCTTCTTTTAATTACTGTTTTGCATAAACTTGAATTAGTTTTAAAAGTTATATATACTTTTTTTACCATTTTAATCGCAATGGAAAATTAATTAAGATTTATAAAAAATTACATTAAAGCAAACAAGTTAATATATATATATTTTCATTTAAACCATTTAATATTGCCTTACTCTACTTACTTACCATTCTTAAATTACAAATAAGTTTTAAAAATTTTAAGGGTGAAAAAAAATGAATATTTTATTTTATAAGTTTGCAAATTTAACGGAACCATTCTTACACCCTTATTTTCGACAAATCTTTTTTGTGTGTTTTTATTTTTATTTTTTTTTTAATTTATTTATAGTTTGAAAAAAATTTTGTTTTAATTTAAATTTTTACTACTTTTGTGTGTGTGTGTTTTTTTTTTTTTTTTTGCTTAAAGTTTTTTTGTATTTAGATTTAAAATTTTAATTTATACTTGTCATTGTGCATGGTTACTCA